TAAAATACTCCTCTTCTGCAACTGGCAAAACTTCTATCTTCTGTAACTGGTAGAATCTTATTTTAGCAACAATCACCAATACCAAATGTTTCCTGATCAGTCTGGCAAAATGGTTAGGCGGAGTTTTAGACAATTGCTTCATATAAACCTCGATCAAGTCACTTATATTTCTGGAGTATCTTTCAAAAAAGTCATACCAGAGCATCTCATTAAAGTCTGGACTCTAAATACAAATAGTACCATACTTTGTTTAAGCCATTCTGGTAATTTACTTGTGTACATTGAGTTATTATCTTGTTGCATCACCCAATATTAATCTCTAGATGATGGGTTCTTATCCTGACATTCTTCAGTAACGAATCAGGGTCTAATACTCTGATGTGGTAATGCAGATTAGAATGAGGTGTTGGTGGTGATGTGTAGTGTTTTATCTCCCAAAAAACAGAATTGTGTACTTCTGCTAAAGTGCATATTGTTTGTCTCATATGTTAACTGAACATTGTCCCACATTTGCCTTTTACAAACCTAAAAAATACTTTCTACTATGGGGTCCTTTCCATAAATAAGTTTATTTTTGAACGTATAGTGGACACCTATTCATACCACAACACTGTGGCATTCATTGTTAATGGCACCCCAATGGACCTTCTCCACACCTGAATTGCAGTGCACTTCATGTGGTATATATTACCATGCACTGTTCTAGTTAGTAAATTTGGGGTCCATTTTGGCCCATAACGCACAACAGGCACCATAATGTGCATTTGTTGAACATACTGCAGTAGACCACCCTGGTTCTAATGGGCCATTAGTGTTTTTGTTCCTTTATATCGGCAGGGTAGTCTTAATTCTTGCCATATGCAAGAAACCCAAACCTAGGAAGAAATGCAACACTATTGTGTGCCATGTTTCATGAGAAGAGCATACATCATAACCAAATGGAATAGATAAAAATTGAATTGAGAATAAAAACTGAATTGAATGGCATCTCATTGAATGAAGAAGTCTAATAACCTTTTTTAAAAGATATGATTATGCCAAGCATTCACATATTGTTCCATGAAGACCTTTGACTGTTTTAGCCACTTGTTCTAAAATGATTCAGCAATTTAAAATGTTTTGTGGATTGGTTGATTTGTAAAACGTATACAGTGTAATGATTTAGGTATGGATCAGACCACATTTTAGAAGCCATTAATTCAGAAATCAAAGTAATTTCAAAGAGTCTAAATACTTTTTTCTTGACAATGTATATAGCAGTGTAGCCATGGAGCATGATTTTTTCCAATCCTCATCACTCCTAAATAAAGTAGAAACTATATATGACCTTGGTAGAAATGAAGGTTAGTGTTGTTTTGCAGCAATAAGTGTTTACTGAAGGTCATCTTACTAGTCACACACCATTATGAATACAAATCCTAGATCCTATGCTGCCATTTTTAATGTCCATTCATTAGGCTTACATACTGGCTTTCCAAAATTGTTTTAATTAAAAAAAGCCTACATATTTAAATGAACAAAAGGCTTTAAAGATCTTTTATTTGTCACACTGAAATTGCCAGCTATGCTTAAACATATGCTCTGGATACTCAACAGTATGTATTTATATACACTGATCAGCCATAACATTATGACTACCCATCTAATATTAAGTAGGTCCCCCTTTTGCCACCAAAACAGCCTTGACCCATCAAAGCATTTACTCCACTAGACCTCTGAAGGTATGCTGTTGTATCTGGCACCAAGCAGTCAGTAGCAGACCCTTTAAGTCCTGGAAGTTGTGAGTTGGGGCCTCCACGGATCGGACTTGTTTTTTCCAGCCCACCCCACAGATGCTTGCTTGGATTCAGACCTGGAGAATTTGGAGTCCAAGTCAACATCTGGAACTTGTTGTTGTGTTCCAAACTTGAACCATTTTTGCAGTGTGGTAAGGTGCATTATCCTGCTGAAAGAGGTGACTGTCATCAGGGAATACCATTTTTATGAAGGGGGGGTACTTGGTAAGCAACGTTTAGGTAGGTGATACATGTTAACATAACATCCACATGAATGGCAGGACCCAAGGCTTCCCAGCAGAACATTGCCCAAAGCATCACACTGCCTCCATTCGCTTGTCTTCTTCCCATAGTGCATCCTGAGGCATCTATTCCCCATGTAAGCAACACACACACCTGGCCATCCACATGATTTAAAAGAATATGTGATTCTTCAGACCAGGCCACCTTCTTCCATTGCTCCGTGGGTCAGCATGGGCACCCTGACTGGTCTGCAGATATGCAGCCCCATACTCAACACACTGTAATGCAATGCACTGTGTGTTCAGACACCTTTCTATTGGAATCAGCATGAACCTTTTCAGCAATTTGAGCTACAGTAGCTCTTCTATTGGATCAGACTAAATAGGCCAGCCTTTGCACTCCACATGCATCAACTGAGCCTTGGCCAACCATGACCCTATTTTCCTTCCTTGGACCAGTTTTGGTAGGGTCCTGACCACTGCAGACTGGGAACATTCCACAAGTGCTGCAGTTTTGGAGTTGCACTGACCCAGTCGTCTAGCCAGTCTTAAATATTTACACTTGCCCATTTTTTCTGTTTCCAACACATCATGTTGAGGGACAAAATGTTCACTTGCTGCCTAATATATCCATATATTTCACCTTCATCGAGGTGCCAATGGACCAAAACAAACAATGTTATTCATTTAATCTCTCAGTGGACATAATATTATGGCTGATTGGTGTGTGTATATGAGAAAAAATAAAATAAATATATATATATATTTTTTTCTTTTTCCCCAATTGTACTGCTCTTGCTAGTATAAATGATTACAAAATTGCTCTCGGGTAATTTGACCCAGCCTCAGATAACATTCACCAAAGGGTGTTCAAAAACTGCAGTCTGTGCTAACCAATTAAGTATTATGAGTAGAGACAATGGCTGTGCTGTGCATTACATGGCAAGAGAAGAGGTGCTGTTTCCTGATGTTCCTGAATATGCACTGATATAAGGTGCAGCTGCAAAATTTGCAATGCTTTTAACAATTCTTTAGCAATTCAGGTAATGTTGGAACTGAGGCAGCTTTTTCACAACCATTATTAAAAGAACAGATGCGCTGTGCTTATAGCAAATATGGCCATAACATAATTACTAAATAAAAAAAGGAGTTTAATTTTTATAACTTTATTACAGTCACCGTGCTTGATCAGAAAAAGTTATAAACATCAAGTTGAAACAGTATAAGTACGTGTATACAAGTGCTTTCTGCGTGCTTATTCTGTTTTTCTTTTGCCAAAATCCATTAGCTGCTGTCATAAAGAAATGTAGCTGGTAATGGCCCTGGGATGAGAAACATCACTGCAGGTGCAACCGATGTAATTTATAGGATTCTGAAATCTTTGTATTATACAGGAGACACAATTCAGAATTACCTGCCTTTAAGTATCTGCACCCCCTACATCAAAAGGAAAATCTGCCACTGAAAATTAATCAACTGAATTAAGTCTGAATAATCAACAGTGTTGAGCTGGGGCTTTCTACAAACCCAAAACCGTCACTGACAGCCCTCCAGCCCAATCTGTTGCAGAAATTGCGGCATGGGCATTCACCCCCCCCCCCCCTTTGTGACATGTAGCTGTAGGGTGGGGAATGCACCTGCCACCACTGATTGGCCTGCAAGGGGGGTGTGTCAGTCACAGTTTTGAGTGGGCTTGGGGGAACTGGGTTCGCACCAAGTCCATCCTTAATTAAGACTAACTGATTTCTGATAAATAAATAAAAAGCAGCTTACCATACCATAGCAGCTTACATATCTTTACCATAAAGCAAAATATTACATTTTATACATTATTAAATATATTGTATGAATAAGTTTGTGATATGAAAGGCATGAAGGATGACCTTGAGACAGAAGCATGTCAAATGTTAACTGGAATGAATGTACTTGTTCTGAGAAGTGGCAAAATTATGTGCATGTAGTTAGTCAATTCACTTAATTAGTTTTCACAACATAAATTAAAGTCTTCAAACCGCGCAAACCCCCTAGCATAGAAATCCCATAGTAGGAGCCCTCCAATAATTAGATATTCAAGTACAATATAAAGTGCATCCAAAATAAATTAAAGTCTGTTATATAGAAAGTCTAGCATTGGATGGAATATGTAAACCCTGTGGATCACTGACCACATTTCTGTGCATTAATAACAGCTGAGTGTGGAATAAATGGACAAAATAATCAGTAGCATTAAGTTTTTAAATAAAAAAAAAAACTGTTAAACCAATATGACTCTTCCATGCCTCATTTTGAAGTGAATATTTGCCATCTGTTTTGCTATTTTATTGTGCAAAAAAATATATGAATTAAAAAGAGGATAAAATATTTTGATCCAAGAATCATCTTTGCTAATTAAACCTGCTAGTACATGCTACTTTGAAGAGCTATACATATATATCCCATCAAGACTTACTTTGGTAATGTGTGTAGTAGTTGTAGTGCCATGAGTTTCTGAAGTAATTGTCTGAGCGCTCATTAAAACACCAGGATCTGTGTCAGGGCGAGACACCATCTAAAAACAAAGTGATGCAAGTACTGGAATTTAATAAAAATATATTTACTGGAGCATTTTATTGTTATATATGTTTGGGTCACCACACAAAAATAAAAACAGACATGCGTATGAAAGAGACCTTGTACAACTCACAAACATATATATATAAATACATACTGTGACAAAATATATAATGTCACACAGTGAGGGATTTTATTAACCCTTTCGCTGCCAAGCCCTCCGGAAAATTTTTCAAATCAGCTACCATAAAGTTGACCCATCACTGTAATTTGTTATCACATAGGGCATTTCTTAGCACCCTATGTGATAACAATAAAGTGTAAAAAAAGTTTAAAAAAGAAATTGCTCACAAAATAAATAAATGTACACACACAAAAAAAAACCCCACCAATTTTTTTTAAAGTCCCCCATCCCCACACAGATGCGCAAAAATGCGTTAGATGCGCCTACATGCAAAAACGACGATTGCTCCAATTATGCCGAACGTGTTACATATCGCCGCAAACGTCGCAATAATTTTAGGGCCATCAATCACCGATATTGTAATATCCGCTTACAATAAAATGCAGCAGGATACTGTATCCTATCTAGATAATTTTTATCCTTTAATATGTGTGTGACAGTTTAGGCCATAAGCAATTGGGTATGCAATTTGAGGTCAGTTTAGATGCAGTGAGTGCTTAGCAGAGTTCTGGAGTAATGTATGGTTTTATATTTTTACCAAACAGTTTATCTTAGCAATGTAACCTGTGATGGACCACACAGTACATATGTGTATTAACCACCTCCCGTCCGCCGATCGTTGAAAGATGGCCGGAAGGGAGTCTCCTGGATGCGGGTGGGTGTCTTTAGACGTCCTCTCCGGTACAGAAACCGGAGAGAAGCTGATGAAGCAGATCTGTGCTTCATCAGCTTCTCTGGGGGTCCCTAGGTGACATTAGGGGTCTTAGAGACCCCTGATCTCTCCATAAAGGGGACCCATCACTGTAATTTGTTATCACATAGGGTACTTCTTAGCACCCTATGTGATAACAATAAAGTGTAAAAAAAAGTTTAAAAAAAAAATTGCTCACAAAATAAATAAAAATGTACACACAAAAAAAAACCCCACAAATTTTTTTTAAAGTCCCCCATCCCCACATAGATGCGCAAAAATGTGTTCGATGCGCCTACATGCAAAAACGACGATTGCTCCAATTATGCCGAACGTGTTACATATCGCCGCAAACGTCGCAATAATTTTAGGGCCATCAATCACTGATAACACTAAACTGATGAGCGGTAAAATGTTTTAAAGCGTCGCCTCTGACCAATTTTAGTTTGTTTGCGATGTTTCGGGCGCGCGCAATTTTAAGGCTTGACATGTTTGGTGTCTATTTACCCGACGTGACCCTAAATTTTATATTTTAGCAAAAAATTGGGTAAAAATAAATGTTTCCTAAAATAATAAAGAGAAACCCATTTTTAAAAAAATATTCAGTCCTTTTTTTGTTATATAGTAAAAATAAAAAATAAAAACCCCAGTGGTGATTAAATACCACCAAAAGAAAGCTCTACGTGTCCCCAAAAAATGGTATAAAATTAATTTCAGTACAGCGTTGCATGACGGAATAAGCGTCAGCCAAAGTACCGCAGCGCTGAATACTGAAAAACGGCCTGGACAGGAAGGGGGTATA